CGAATTATTGACGTAATCTCGTTCCTTGATGCTTATCCGATGCAGAGACAGCCAAGGCGTGTCGGTGGAGCTGGTTGACGAAGATGGCAATGTGGTGAATATGGATGATGTCAATCTTGATGATGTGGAATATGTGGATGAAGACGGCAACCCCGTGGATATTAACGGCAATCCTTTGCCCAATAAGGTATGCTGAGCATGTGCAAAACATACGTGAATATGAATATATATAAATATATATATATATATGTATGTATATATATATATATATATTGTACGCATTGGTTTTAAGGGTTAAAACCCTAAAACCCTAAAAACCCTAAAACGTATGCATTGATAGTGATGCCGTACAGTTGCATGAAGCAGTGGATGCATATATCCGCATTGCCGGGTACACACAGGCATGTGCATGTGCATGTGGAATTGGTTCATATTCAGAGGGGGTGGTTGGGATTAGTAGGGCATCCATTGGGGATGTGGCCATCATTCCCAATAATGTGGCAAAGTAGCACAACACGTACACAAAGCAACCGACCAGGCATGTATAGTACTGTATAGATATTAATATCATGCATTTCGACACACGCACATGCTTCTACTTTTTGCTAATAAATTAAATGTTATGTACCCCCCGTGCTTTCCCCAAGGACATATTTTCTCTACATATAACCTCAAACTCTAAACCCTAAACCCTAAACCTGATCACTTCACACCACTACACATTGTACTTCGCTCAAAACAACTCAGTACAGAGCGATGACGTATAGCACAATACATCGACCAAAACAATTGAGTGGATACACAAGCACAAAACAATTGAGTGGATGCACAAGCACAAAACAATTGAGTGGATACACAAGCACAAAACAATTGAGTGGATGCACACGCACAAAACAATTGAGTGGATACACAAGCACAAGACAATTGAGTGGATACACAGGCACAAAACAATTGAGTGGATACACAAGCACAAGACAATTGAGTGGATACACAGGCACAAAACAATTGAGTGGATACACAAGCACAATAAGGATATTTAGAATACAACGCTATTCGTAGTTGATAGCAAACTTAGTTTATGTACTTCTTATGAGTACGTTTATATTCCCTAGCTCGTCCATACCTGCCATTGGTTTCACACGTCGTCTTCAGATGAATCATGTGACTCACCGGTTGATCCCCATTCATGGCAAACTTAGTTTATGTCCTATCGTAAGGTACGTTTATACTCTCGAGTTCGACCGTTTCACTCATCCTTGCACTTGCGCCAGGGAGAGGCTCATGCACAGACACCCGACGACAATCGCTCGGTTAACAGTGACGAAGTGCACTACGTAGACGAAAACGGCAACCCTATCAACCCCGATGATGTGGAGGTGGAGTATGTGGATGAATTTGGCAATATAGTTGACCCAGACACCCTGGACGACGACGTTGAGCTGGTAAGATACGATACCATGCCGACTGTAGGGCGAATGTTCTGTACCGAACTATAAGGAGAATGTTCGGTACTTATAGTCTCAGATCATCCGCCACATCCATGTTTGAGTTGATTATAGTACACCCTAGTACCGTGCTTGGTATGCACACACACGGATGCTTACATAAAGTGTGGCCCAATTCATACCCCGATGAGCTACTGGCGCAGGTTCATAGAGTATATGAGGTATATGTACATCACAAGAACATCACAGCTTAGCTGTATAAAGTTTAAAAGCATGTGATTCATGTATGAATGTATGATACATGCACGTATATACCATACAATCGTAGGTCAATCGCAAGATATATACAACAAGTACTGCATGACTATATAGACGTAATACGTGTATATATGTCTATATATAT